AGAGTGGACTCAAAAAGACATTTGTTAACACAAGATGATCTTTGTTTAAATTGTCAAATGTCTTATAGAAGAAAAAGAAATTTGTTTTATTTTGCGCCTCTAAAGATAAAAAGGAAAAAGTGAGGCATTTCACAAGAAAAATAAAAATTTATGTTAATTATTGTAATTGAAAATGAGGAAAAATAAAACATTTAGATTAAAAATGTGAAGGAAGAAAAAATTGAACAAGAAAATGTAATCACGGGATCCAGAGAAATGCAAAACTGGTAGAAACAGCAGCATGAAGAGCATGAAGTAGAATGTGTTGGTTATAGCATTTAGATTTAGATGTACCATTGAGAATTAGCATTTTAATTCAACATATAAATTGAACTTTTAGCTATAACATTTAGCTTTAACATTTAGATATATAATTTAGATTTAACATTTAGATTTAGATTTAACATTTAGATTTAGATTTAACATTTAGATATATAATTTAGTTTTAACATTTAGATAGAACATTTAGATTTAGATTTAACTTTTAGATATATAATTTAGTTTTAACATTTAGATAGAACATTTAGATTTAACATTTAAAAATAAAATTTAGATTTAACGTTTAGATATATAATTTAGATTTAACATTTAGATATAACATTTAGACTTAGATTTAACATTGAGAAATATAATTTAGATTTAACATTTAGATATGACATTTAGATTTAACATTTAGATATAACATTTAGATTTAACATTTAGATAAATAATTTTGTTTTAACATTTAGATAGAACACTTAGATATAACAATTAGATTTAGATTTAACATATGAATATAACATTTAGATTTAGATTTAACATTTAGATTTATAATTTAGATTTAACATTTAGATTATTAACATTTAGATATAACATTTAGATTTAACATTTAGATTTAGATTTAACATTTAGATAGAAAATTTAGATTTAACATTTAGATTTAGATTTAACATTTAGATATAACATTTAGATTTAGATTTAACATTTGAATATAACATTTAGATTTAGATTTAACATTTAGATTATTAACGTTTAGACATATCATTTAGATTTAACATTTAGATAGAACATTTAGATTTAAATTTTAGATTTATAATTTAGATTTAACATTTAGATTTAACATTTAGATTATTGACATTTAGACATATCATTTAGATTTAACATTTATATAGAACATTTAGATTTAAAATTTAGATTTATAATTTAGATTTAACATTTAGATTTAGATTTAACATTTGAATATAACATTTAGATTTAGATTTATAATTTAGATTTAACATTTAGATTTAGATTTAACATTTGAATATAACATTTAGATTTAGATTTATAATTTAGATTTAACATTTAGATTTAAAATTTAGATTTAACTTTTAGATTTAGATTTAACATTTGAATATAACATTTAGATTTAACATTTAGAGTTATAATTTAGATTTAACATTTTGATTTAGATTTAACATTTAAATATAACATTTCGATTTCGATTTAACATTTAGATGTCACTTTTAGATTTAGATTCAGATTTAGATATAACATTTAGATTTAGATTTTTAGGTCATTCCCGATTCAAATTTGATAAAAGCAAAAAAAAAAAAAAAAAAAAAAAAAAAAAAGTAACTGCTATGCATTTCCCCTCCTAGCTGAGTGCTGTATTTGGTTATTTAACACCTAAATCTGTCGCTCTATGATTTTATCTCCCATATCCCAATGTCTAATGTAAAATCGTACCTTTCCTGAATGTGTTTCCCACTGGAAAATCTTACTTGTTTTCTTTTATTTTAACCCTCTGGAGGCAGGCATTGCAGATTAGCAACAGTTAAAGCCTACCTTCCTAGTTACGCCACATATGTATTTCATGAGCATTTTTTCACTCAGAAGTACCCCTGAAGGACTTAGTTGTTCGTCCTGTTACCAAAACAATTTGAGCCTAAGAGGGTTAAAGGACTCCCTCCAGAGATTTAATGAGATTGCATCCCAAGTAATGAACGACAGTTTGGATGTTTTCCAAACATAATAAGTTGATGAAATCCATCAGATAAGCAGTACATCACATTCATGGCAGCACCTAGGAGGAGCATTTTGCTGTGAGACTGGATGAAAACAAAACTGTATGAGAGGTGCTCATGTCCATATACATAGAAGTCATGAGAAATTTCTAAATCTTCTCTATAAGATTTCTAACTGCAATAATTAGAATATGAGTAAAGTGTGTGCTGCAAATGTGTAGTTATTAACAAATCCATCAGAGACAAGCTGCTGTTCCTTCGTAATGAAATGCAGCTGACCCAAGCTTGGCTCTATGCATGAGCCTTTAACAAACCATTGACTCTCTGCTGCCCAGAGACTTCTTTTTTCTTTGTTAAACTCGGTTTTATTGATCTTTGCTTTGTGACTGCCTCAGCTGACACACAGCAGAATCTGTCCGTGCTCTGCTAAGAGTCCTGTGGAGATTCATTAGGTATGCCTTCGATTTCTCGGCACAATGCCTGCCTCTCCTCAACAGCCTGCGACGCTCCTCCGTCTGGTCTTCATTATCGTGTCCTTTTCATCCTGCTTGTCATGGTCAGGATTCTGCAGCTGCGCACACAAACAAACCGATGCCTGAATGATCAGAATTCACTCACATTTTCAAGTTTATTTGCCATATGCATCAAGTACAGTGTACACAGATTGCTATGAAATGCCTTTTGCCCTGGTTCTCCTTCATTACAATAAAAACTAAGAAAAAAGCAGAAAAATTAACTTCAAACAAAGAATTCCCTGATGTAAAAGTGGAACATCATTAGTGAAGGAAGCTCCTTTTCATGAGTCTAACAATCGTGGGGTACTGTCTCGAAGGGGTGAGGACAGGGCATGAAAAGAGCGTGAGTGCTTTCCTGAGGGCAGGTGGGAGATTTTTCCACATCAGATATGAAAAAAATGCAGTCTAGTGGGCATTTGCCTCCAAAGATCTTTTTGACTTTTAAAGAAAATATCAAAAGCTGTTAAATGTCCCTGAAACACATCGGAGCTGCTCACCTTTTCCACAAACACTAGAGATACAAGGACTTCTTAGAGGATTTTTCCCTTTTGTTTGTTGACGTGTTTAACTTTAATCTCCAATCACAAATGAGTTTGTAACTGAAGGTTAAGACAATGACACTGCTATGATCTAAAAGAATGCGTAAAACACCAGTTGTTTGATTCTGTGCTATTTTAGATACACTGCAAAACATTGTTGTTGCTTTAAATGAGTTTTCTCTACAGTTTTGTTGCCGATAAAGTTTTCATATTGGTTTTAGCCCAGTCCCACCATCAATGTTTCTGTTCCAAGACCAACATTACATCAGTCCAGTCACAAATAGAGAAGCCCTTGCATTTTGGTTCCAGCAAAAGTACGGGAAAGCAGCGTTGCCAACTTAGTAACTGGAATCTGTCACTATATTTTCTAAGTACTCAAACAAACTACACATTTATATAAACATTAATGACATTCTTGAGTCATTTGAGATGTTGACATGAAAGTCGGTCACATTCTTACTCCTCTCAAAAAGCAGCTGATGCAGCCATGAGGCCAAAGGTGCCCCAGTCCTTGTGCAGCACTTCCACTCTCAGCTGCAGTGACAGCAGGAGCCTATTTCCCCTCAGTGTCCAGACTGCATATGAAATGATACGCACGAATATGTTTGAGACTTTACGTTTGAAATGGAATAGAAATAAAAACCACGATGTGAAGAAAACTAACTGGCCCATGACTTGTGGAAAGTGGCTTTGGGCTAACATGAACAGAAGTCAACAGATAATCACACACACACACACACACACACACACACACACACACACACACACACACACACACACACACACACACACACACACACACACACACACACACACACACACACACACACACACACACACACACACACACACACACACACACACACACACACACATGTTGGTTGAGTATTCACTTGATTTAATTGCTACCTGCTACTTTAATTTTTACAATTATTTAAAATAATGTTTTGGGCATGTAAGACAGATCTGCCAACGGAAATAAGAACTGTGTTGTCAAACAGAGTCAAATTTTTCAGAACAAATATCAGTATAAAAAACACACATTGATGGTCATATGCCCAACATTTTGTATTTACTGTATGAGCATGATTGCATACCAGTACTGTGCAACAGCATGTTTCAATGAGATAAGATCTAGTGAAAGCCGGTCACCACCCAACATTAGATCCAGCAAGGGTTTCACGTGACATGTTTGAATTTCTAATACAGATTATTTAAAGAAAAAATCAGAAGCAGGCCTGTTTTGTTTTAGGTTTACCACTGCTGTTTCACTTAGAGGGGCATCAGTTCTCTGTTAACACCCTGCCAGACATATCAGTCATTCATTGGTGGAGAAAGGTTAGGAGGCGTTGTTGTTAACTGATTCAGATGATTGATTGGTTGAAATGTGTTTCATTGAGGTTTGTTTAAAACCGTCAAACTCAAACCCACCCAAAGCAAGTTTCACCCGCAAAATCAGAACCAATACCACCCAATTGTGTGGGGAACTATACCCACTCAGGCAACACTGAGGGAGAACAAAGGAAAGTTATTAGATTTGGTAACATCTGGCTTTTTTTTTTTGTATATTTTTATTAATCATGTTTCATTCCTTCATAACCAGATCCTGTTTAGATGGTTTAATTGTCCAGCTTGCTTAATATCTTGAAAGGTGTTCCTCAAAGTTCACTCCTTCGAACACTTATTTTCCCAGTGACATTACTGGGTTTGTTTTAAAAGTTTCGATTTCTTTGCCAATAATGCACTTGTTTTATTGCACTGGCTTCACAGAAGACAAACTAACATTGCTTCAAAATGCCGTCAGCGCTGTTAAATTTTCACTTTGTGTTGCTTGTAATGCTCTTTAGTGTTGGGTGGTTTGTGACTTACCCAGATCTATTTTAATGGGCTCGCCATGAGGCACAAAAGAGACCAAGATCATCCCATTAGACCCTGTTTTATTACACTTCAGCAATTTACTCTGATGCATCTTGTGAACATTTCCATGCATTTAATCTGGCTTTGTCATCATTTCTCCAGGAACGCGGCGCTTTACTGCAGTTAACCCGGGGGAGTGCAACGTGACTCATCTGGGTTGTTCTTCTTTTACATTGTAATATCCGGGGGCAGGCCCACGGTGGAGTGGGAGTGTCTGCGTGTCCTCCTCTCAGGAAAACGCTGGAGCTGGAGCACTTTGGCAGAGCGCACACTGCGGAGAAGGAGCGCGCGGTTTACGGCCACCGAGGATTATGTCAGCTGTCCGACGCATCGAGGGACGTTCAGAGCAGCAGGGCCGTCCACCGCCTCTGCTTTAACCCAGAACTCCCACGTCGCCTTGTTTACCACATGCTTTGCTGAAATCCTCCTGTCATAGGCTGCTGCTGCTGGTTCTGGTCCATCCCCATCTCTTCCTCCTCCTCTCGTCCTGCTCCTCCTCCTCCAGATTCCTCTCGTCCCATCGCCAAGATGGAAAAGGCGCTCTGCAGTTCGCACGCCGGGACCAACAAACCCAACTGCTCCCCGTCCGACCACCGCGGCAGCTCGGCGTCCAGGAAGCCAGGAGGTCGGAGCGGGTCGCACAGCCCCGGCTCCGGGTCCCTGTGCGTGCCGGCTGGAGCTGTAGGCAGCCGGGGGAGCGTGCAGGGCAGCGGCATGAATCTACAGCAGCAGCTGGGGCGCAGGAGGCAGCTGGAGGGAGTGCTCAGCAAATACACCAACCTGCTCCAAGGCTGGCAGAACAGGTAGGAGGAGGAGAGGTCGGTTCAGGTGTCACGTTCATGATGTGATTTGTCCCGTCCACGTTGCACTTTTACCCCCACGTCACTGTGAGGAGGAGGAGGTTATATCTTTAGGCCTGATTTTTACTATTTAAATGGTGAACATTTGCAGGAGTTACAGAAAAAGTTTTATTTCTGTAATCGATGAATAAATCCGATGTTGACAGACCCTTATCAATAAATTTATTACCTGCCTAAATCTGTGCCTCTAGATAGTTTGACTCTAAATGCCAGATAATTGTACTTTAAAATAGTTTTTGTGTTTATGGTAGTAACCTATTGCAACAAACATGTTACATTTAACACATTTCATAAAATTATGTTTTCCCCTTCTCCTTAGGCCGTGTACACAGGTAACCGGGTTTCTGTAAAACAGAGTATCCTCCTTCGCCCATCTAGGAAAAAACTTGTTTTCAGCAAGAAAAACCCCCATTGTGAAGCAAATTCATAAGTCTGCCAAGCCTATAGGTGGCATGAGTTCCCCAAATTGTTGGCATCTTTACCAACAAACATTCTTGGATGTGGAATAACTATGTTCTGGGAAGTAACCATCCTTAACATCGTCCTTCACCTGTCTTCTGTGGGAGCGGTAATTAAGCTTGTAAAAGTAAGTGTGTGTAAACACAGTTAGCATGCGTTGTCCCAGTTAATTTGCCACTGTGCTCGTTTTATCACCTGTTGGTACAATGACATTGTCTTGCTGAGATCAGTTTTTGGACTTTGACCCAGGAAACTGGGGTTTGACTGAAGCAAGCAGCTCAGCTGCTGCTTCTTATTGACAAAAGATGACAGGTGTGCAGCAATGTTTTTGCCTGTGAGTGTATGTATTTGACAGGAAATTTATACTGTGATCAGCTGGAAACTCCCAAAACATAATATTTTGAGTGTACATCTTTTCTCGATGACTGCTACAGACTTAAAAAAACCACAACAATAGCTTTCACTGAGCTCAGAGTTTCTGCTTTTGGCCATAGGTGCAGTTTTTGTCTTATTCCCTGATATTTGGACATCTTGCCTCTGATTGGATAACAGCAGCTCGACTCAGCCTTTGATTCTATTTGCTTTGCAACGTTGATGTTTTATGTCCACCAATAACACAAGCCTGGAGGGGTTCTGCCATGTTGTGGAGATGCTAAAGCTAATGGTTAGCTTCTACTAGTCTGCTCTCTCCTGGTCATGAAATCATCAACAGTCTTCAAGAGCCAAGATGTCCATGAATGCTAATCCTACAATGTCACGTGCAAGTGTCAGGCTTTTCTAATCCGAGAGTTTCCTCGTCTATCTTCCATCGGCGCCTAATGCAGCCTGTGGTTCCAAATTCGAAAAATGTGCATTTAGTTTTCTTTGGAAGTCTGTAAATCCTGCTTTTTTTGTGAACTTTCATGTGCAGTTAACATGAATTATGCAGAATCTCTGTCCTACAGCTTTGGTGAGAAGTTTATTTTCTTTATCTTTTGCAGCAAAATTAGTTATTTTCTCTAATAAGTGTCCCATTGTGGCCGTACTGTAGCAGTGCTGCAGAGAAGAAGGAATTTTATGAAAGTGTCTACGATCTGGGCTTGATGCCAGTGTGTGAGAGAGGGTAAAAAAAGGCGGAGGTGGAGGGAAGGAGCGGCTGTAAACTGACAGCCAGATGATGCACTGATCTGCATCTTGATGCGCACACACACGGGAGACTACCTGGGTTTTAAAAACCGACACAAGTTTTTGGTTTCAAAGAGATAAGTGATGTGATTGTGATGCATTTAAACATGTCTGATGTTCAGAGCGCATTCACCTGAACGTACGCATGAACAAATCTTTTGTACAAGTTCAAAAAGTGGCTTTAATTCAGAACTTGAGCTGATACCAGGAAAGGATTTTTCTTTTTCTTTTGCGGTGATGCCACCTGTCATGTCTCAGTTTCAACGAGCCTCAAATGGTAAAAATGGTAAATGGCCTGTATTTGATATAGCGCCTTCTAGAGTCCTGGAACCCCCCAAGGCGCTTTACAACACAATCAGTCATTCACCCATTCACACACACATTCACACACTGGTGGGGATGAGCTACGATGTAGCCATAGCTACCCTGGGGCGCACTGACAGAGGCGAGGCTGCCGAGCACTGGCGCCACCGGTCCCTCCGACCACCACCAGCAGGCAATGTGGGTTAAGTGTCTTGCCCAAGGACACAACGACCGCGACAGACTGAGCGGGGCTCGAACCTGCAACCTTCCGATTGCGGGGCGAGCACTTAACTCCTGTGCCACCGTCGCCTCAAGGCGATGAGCCGGATTTATGTGAGAGCTTTCTTTCAATGCGTCCACCTGAGCCGATGCCGTGGGGTCGAAGCGAGTAAATATGCGGACAGAGATAGCAAGCGGTGACTCAAACCTCCTGGAAAATGTCACAGGAAGCTGAAACTGCAATTAGATGAGAAAATATATATTTTATCATCTCAAGACTTTATTTCTCTAATTTCCCTCTGGGATTAATATAGTATTATTGAATTGAATTTGCTCCCATCCATCCATCCATCCATCCATCCATCCATCCATCCATCCATCCATCCATCCATCCATCCATCCATCCATCCATCCATCCATCCATCCATCTATCCATCCATCCATCCATCCATCCATCCATCGTCAGGTCGCGGCCATCCATAGTCAGTCGCGGGGACAGTAGCCCAAGGCGAGAGGCCCAGACTTCCATCCGGAGTCAGGTCGCGGGGACAGTAGCCCAAGGCGAGAGGCCCAGACTTCCCTCTCCCCAGCCACTTGGGCCAGCTCCTCCGGGGGAATCCCAAGGCGTTCCCTGGCCAGGTGAGAGACATAGTCCCTCCACCGTGTCCTGGGTCTACCATTAGGTCTCCTCCCGGTTGGACGTGCCCGGAAAACCTCACCAGGGAGGCGTCCAGGAAGCATCCTGACCAGATGCCCGAGCCGCCTCAACTGGCTCCTCTCGATGTGGAGGAGCAGCGAGTCTACTCCGAGCCCCTCCCGAATGACCGAGCTTCTCACCCTATCTCTAAGGGAGAGCCCAGCCACTCTTCGAAGAAAACTCGGCCAGGAATTGAAGCTCTTTCTGACAGGAGACTCTGCCAGACGTTCCCCGTAGACCCTCGCGATACGGGGAGAATTTGCTTCAGTGCTTCCAATATGATTTAGGTTAGACTTTTTCTGAAGGGAACAAAAAAATAAAGTGGTGCGATACAGCAATTCGTGACAGGGAAAATTTGATGGCTGTGCTCTCAGTCGTGTCTTCATACAACACTGGCTCTTTCAGGACTTTGCCGATACGTTGGGATATCACGACCATTTCGGCAGCCAAAGACATCCACGGACAACTTTATTAACATGAAAAAAGTTTTATTCTATTTAAGTATGTCGTCATTTAATCCATTCAGAAGACTTGGAGAGCAGCTGTGTGACGTAAAGAGCAATGTTCAATGACTTGAAGAATTGCCATTTTTTAGGAGACCAGAAAGTAGCCAAAAAAATTTTTTTATGCATTTTTCATTTGGGGAGTTCAGAAAAAGCTAATTAAAATCAGCTTCAAAGCTGTTTAATATATTTTCCTTCCATTCTGCTTCACCAGCAATTTTCCAATTTTAAAAATGTTGGTTATTTGGTGATGTCACTTCCTACTAAGTTACAGCCAATCAGGTCAATAACAAGTCAACCGGGTCTTTTCTGAGTTCGTACCCCAGCTCTGGTACACAGCTGGTTCCTTTTGGGACGACTCGGTTAACGGAAGACATCCTCATGCCACGAAGGTCCTGTAAAATTACTCGAAAGTTCCGATAGTTGCAATGATCCTAGTGTCTGTGGTGTCTTTACTCTCTACTGTCAAAGTTTATGTAGATCTGCTACACTGACCGTCATTAAATGGATTTTTTATCCATTTGTGAACGACCTTTGTTTAAAATATTTGTAGATGTCTTTCTGAACAGGCTCAGTTTGCAGTTTTTTTTAACTCTGATCGTGTTGATGAGGTTAAAAAAAATGGTGCTCAGCTTTCTATGATGATACAAACAAACTAACAAACCATCTAACCCTCTGAGGAGGAGCCAACATCAATGTCCTTAGTAACCAATCCAGCCAGTCCTGATCATTCATGTGAGTAAGCTGAGGTCCTTCCTGGAATCTTCCCATCTTTATGTCATCCAAAGGAATCAGTCTTTCATTCTTGGATGTTAGAAATGGACACACTTTGAATCCATCTACGAATGTTTCTTTAAAGCTTTGGGCACTACTTCCAAGACCCATTTTCAGCAAATAAAATCTTGAGCTGTTGTACAAGGCATCTTAATTGAGATTTATTTGATTGTTACTGGATTTTTCAAACACCTTAAACTGGGTGTTTAAAGAAATGAGTAGAAAATGACTGGTTTTATCACAGCGGAGTTGTAAGGTCCTGCTCCTCTATAAACCCATTAGGGAGAGAAAATAAGTGTCTGGACTATACATTGTTCCCCAGGTGTTCAGTATTTACGGCTATTATCAGCTAATATCAGTAAGTGCCTCCGGCATTTAATTATAGAAACATCTGAAGGAGGCGAGGCTGTGCGCTGCCGTTGGAGTGATTGCGCTTGTCAGTCACATGGAGACACACATTCTGTGTTTGTGTGTGTGTCTGTGTGTGTCGTGGTGGGCAGCAACAGACCTGAGTGGAGGTAATTCTGCTGCTGAGTGGGTGGACATGTGTTAGCGTGAAGTGCTGCTGTGTAGTGGGAAGTGAAATGTGGACGGTGGCTGTTTGTATGTTTACTTTGTGTTTCTCTAGATCTGTATATGATAAAAATTGATAACCGAAATTGTTTCTTTGGGTGCATTTAGTAAAAACTGTTCATGCAGGGTCACTAAAAGTCACATTAGCTTAGTTTTGAGCATGCTGATGTAATGTTTGGCCAATGCTAAGAGGGCAATTCGAGTTCTGTTATCAGCTTTCTGCCTCATTACCACACGGTTGTTGCAGAATG